TTTTTTAAGATTTTATTTATTTATTTGACAGAGAGAGACACAGCAAGAGAGGGAACACAAGCAGGGGGAGTGGGAGAGGGAGAAGCAGGCTTCCCATGGAGCAGGGAGCCAGATGCGGGGCTCAATCCCAGGACCCTGGGATCATGACCTGAGCCGAAGGCAGACGCTTAACGACTGAGCCACCCAGGCGCCCCCCATTTAACAATTTCTGACTTTTAACTGATGAGTTTAGTTAAATTACTATGATTATTAGTATATCAGGACTTTTTTTTACTCTCTTTTTTAGGGGGAGGAGTCTCACTTTTTCTACATGTCTTTGGATTGATTAGCATTTGGGTTTTTTATTGACTTACGTCATTTCCCCCGTTCTACTGGTTTGAAAGTTATACATGTTATTTGTACTATTTTAATGAATACCATTGGCATTGTGCCATGCATAATTAGCAAAGGCCAAAGTTAATATCTTAATTCCCTTCCCACCCCAAATGCAAAGGCATTGGAACCCTTTAATTTTGACCATCTCATTCCTAATTTACTGTTGTCCCCTATTTTTGTTCTGACCTTGTTTAAACCTATAAATTATGATTATTCTTGTCATCGTTATTGTTTTGTACTGACAATTTTGTTTAGATTCACTCTATTTGCCCATTTCTTCACTCATTATTCCTCCTTTCACTGCAGTTCTTAATAGGGTTGTTTTTCTTCTTTCTGAGGTATATCTTAAAAGTTCAGTTAGTCAAATTTTCCTGTTGTAAATTCACTTTATCTGTATGTCACCCTCATTCCTGAAAGGCTGGGGATCCAATTTTCAGGTCTTTGGAGATACTCTTTAAATCTTTTAGCTTCCTATGTTGCCATTCAGAAATTTGCTGGCAATCTAATTCCTTCCTTTGGGAATAAGCTGTCTTTTTTTTTTTTTTTTTTTAATCTCTAGCTGCTTTTAAGATATTTTCTTTGTTTTTAGTATTCTGCAGTTTCACTGCAATATTTCTTGGTATGGATTTCCTATTATTTTTCCTGCTTGGGATATATTATGTTTCCTAAATCTGCAGAATTATATCTTTTTTCTGCTCTGGAAATTCTCACACATTACTACCTCAAATATAGCCTCTCCTTTCTTCTTTCCTTCTTTGATGCTGCTTAATTGGATTTTAGATCTTCTCAGTCTATTCTACACATTTGTAAGATCTTTCTTTTCATATTTTTCATGTCATATCACTCTTTGTTGCATTCTGATTAATTTCTTCAGATAGGTCTACCAAATCACCCTATTTGGTTAATTATGATCTATAAGAATCCTGAACAACTTTCTCTTTGATGAGTACATTGTCCCTGAAGCTCTGAGAACAATTCGATGAAGCATGTCAAATGCAACTCTTGTAATCTGAATGATGAGGTAGCCAACATCTTAGAGAAAGATGCTCCAGTCCAAGCCAGGGAGATTGTCCTTAACTCTGGATGGATTCCAGCAGCCCTGACAGAGGCTGGTTTTACAAGGTGACCTCAAAGATGTTCTCTTTGCCACATCTCTGAGGCTTCTTGTCCATGACCCATTCTTAAAATTCAGGACCCACCCAACTCAGCCAGGTTCTACCAGTCTGGAGGGTTTGGCAGGCAGCAAGCTGCCTTTGGGGTGGATTTAAATACCAAGGGAGTCCTGCTGGGCACTGGTCCCACCTAGGTGTAGAATAAGGGCAGAAAAGGAAGCCATGGATTCAGGGTAGCAGAAGATATCAAGCCCCAATACCCCACCCCACATACAGTGCTCAGCACATAGTAAGTGCTCAGTAAATATTTGTTAAATGAATGAATAAACACTTTGATGGAATAAGTCCATAGAGCACTGTGGGTCCAAAGGGGACTTAAGGAAGGTTTCCTGGAGGAAGTGACATTTAAATTGAGGCATGGAAAAGAGGAAGTAGTCAGGCCAAGCAGAAAAGGAAGAGTTCCTGGTGGAGGGAACAGCCCATGCAAAGGCCAAAGTGGTAGAATTCAGCCTCGGTGCCCTGAATAGTAGATGAGGCTGGAGTGGGAAACTGAGGCCAGATGCTCAAAAATCCAGGCTTTGTGACAGATAAGCTAGTCAGACAACACCGTTTGAATTTAATGGGTAATAACTTTTATGCTCTGCTCCTGATTTTTTTGCCTAATGAGGTTTAACTGTCCTTAAAAATTAGAAATGACCATAGTGGGGATTTAACCAGTGGTGGCTGAAAGTCTTTCAACACTGCCATTTTGCCCCCAGAGTTTGGAGCCAGGTGCTGGGTCTAAATCCCCAATTCTGTCCTTTATAGGCTGAATCCATGGGCAAGCTCCTCACCTTTCTTCTGAGAAAGGAAGCCAATCCCAATGCCCACCTCATAGGATTAAGAGACAACATGTGTAAGACAGCGTTGCTAAGCTTGCCTGTGAACCTGGGCCTGTCCCTCTGAGCCCTTTGAGAGCAGAGATCCAGCCAGAGTCACTTTGACGGCGCGGGCCCAACAGCACCAGGCACATAGTAGGTGCTCAGTAAACAATGAACCAATGCCTCGACGAACTCTGGCATCGCGCGGTGGAACTGTGGCTCCTTGGGTCCCCAGCCCTTCCCCTCGCCGAGAGCGCTCTTTAGGGGCGGGGCGGGGTGGGGCGGCCGGTTCCGCCCTCTGCACTTGGCGCTGCGCGCGAACGCAGTAGGTGTTGGCCCTCGGGCCTGAACTCTTGGATGCTTGGAGACGGGTTGCCGAGGCCGGGATGTGCGAGGCGCTAACTTGCCCCTCTGGGTGTAACGCTGTGAGCGGCGGAGCCGAGAAGCTGAGGGTTCCCGTGCGGGATCGGCGGTAGACCGGACCAGGCAGCGGCGGGGCGGCGCGAGGAGCCGGCGCGGGCGGAGCCGGCTTTTCTGTCGGCTGACGCAGGCCGGCGCGCCGCGCCTTTAAGGCGTCCAGCAGAGCCCGGCGCCGGGAACTGAGCGGCGCGGGCACGAGCGCTACTGCCGGACGCGAGCGGGGCTGGGGCCAGAAGACGGGCGTCCGGATCCGGCGGCGCGACCCAGGCGCTTGAGGTCAGATGGAGTGTGCGCCGGCGGGGCGGACTGGGGCGGGTCGGGGCGGGGGATGCGCACCTGAAAGGCGGGGGGTGTCTGGGGTCTCTCCCTTATGGCCCCGTGACCCACCCTCCACTTCTCGAGTCAGGGCTGCCTGGCCTCCCCGCAAGCGGCACACGGGGCGAAATGGGTCGGGGACCTGCACCTCTCTTTCTACTCGGTTCCCTCGCTCCGGCATCAGCCCTTGCGCGCTCCCCTGCAGTGCCTGGACACGTTTGACGTTCCCGAATCCCAGGTGCCCTCACTCCCCGAGCTTGCCTACCGCCCTAAGCCCAGGGACAAGGTGAGGGTGGGTCGGGGACCTGCACCCTCTTTCTACTCCGCCTCCCACCGCTGGCTCCGGCACCAGCCCCTGTGCGCCCCTCCTGGTGCCTGGATGGTGTGGAGGCTCCTGTACCCCCGTTCTAACCACTTACTGAGTTCGACCTCCCAGCTAATGGCACCGACCCCCGTCCCGCCCCAGATATCTTCGCCCCTCAGGACCTCCCCCGGCCAGTACCTACCCCCAAGCAGCCTTTTAGCTCACCTCGGCCCCAATTTTCTCAGCCTCATGCCCTTTCCTCCCGGCCCTCTTCTCCCTCCTCCTTGAGTTAGGATGCTGGTCCAACCACCCCGACAGCCAGGTGCTGCCCCAGGACCGCCAGCATCCTCCGCCTACACCTTCGCTGCCTTCCTGGCAGCCTTGGAAACTGGGATTGTGTAACGCAGGCTGCAGGGCAGAGCACATGCAAGATTTGCACCCCTGTATCCGCATTCGAGTGGAGGAGGCCAAGTTGACAGAGTGAATGAAATAGGGAAGGAGGAAGAGGTTGAGGGGAGGGTCTAGAGCCTGTGCAATCTGGGGTATGTATCTGGAGACCTTCTTATGCCTCAGAGTCTGATTGATTAAGAAGAGGTCTCGGGCGCCTGGGTGGCTCAGTTGGTTAAGCGACTGCTTTCGGCTCAGGTCGTGATCCTGGAGTCCCGGGATCGGGTCCCGCATCGGGCTCCCTGCTCAGCGGGGAGCCTGCTTCTCCCTCTGACCCTCACCCCTCTCATGTGCTCTCTCTCTCTCATTCTCTCTGTCTCAAATAAATGAATAAAATCTTTGAAAAAAAAAGAAGAGGTCTCAACTTGGACTGGAGGTCAGCATTTGCCTCACCTCTCCCTCATGGCTAGTCTACCTGGCTGGGAGCTAAGAGTTTATTATAAGTAATAGCTGACATAGAATAAGCAAGTACTGGCTGCCAGATCCAGTCCTAGCACCTTTAGATTACCTGCTTTACTTCTCCCAACAGCTCCATGCATGAGGTAGGTACCGATGTTATGCCCATTTCTCAGAGGAAGAATGTGTCCCCTTCCCAGGACACACAGGGAATCTGACCTCAAAGCCCCCGATTCTGAATCACTAGACTTAATTTTTACCCAGTTGTAACTAATAAATTCTTATCAACATTTTTATAATATAGGAAGTTAGAAATAAGATCAATAACCTATGTTCTTAGCACCAATTTTTCTAAAAGTAGGTACTCAGACCAACAGAGGGTCCTGGGTGTCCTCCTCAAGGAGACTGATGCCCAGAGAGAAGGGATGTGCTGGAGGCCACACAGCTAAGAAGTACCAGGGTTGGTATGCTAAACATGTCCTGGGATGCTCAGTCGTTACTTCCTGGGCTCCCAGTTCTGCCCCAACCCATCAGCCTAGGCCCCTGGAGATTCTTTCCCTCCCCCTCTGCTTGCATCCTGATCTTCCCCTTCCCCCTCTGCTTCCTTTGCTATAACCCAGGAGGTGAGCTGCTGCCTTTGCTTAGGCTGTCCTCTCCTTTAGGAATACCCTCCCTGGAATCTCTGATGTCTCAACCTAACCTACCCTTTAGCTCCAGCTCAGCGGTCCCCTCCAGGAATGCCCCTCTGATTGTTCCCCTGCCCCCAACTGAAAGCGATTCCTTTCTCCCCTGGGATCCTTACCTTCCACCCACATGATGGCATTTGGAAAGTTCTATCTGCATGTATCTGCTTATGCTTTCTGGTGCAGCTGTGCTGGCAGAATCAGAAGCACTCCCCAAGACCCCTCTAACCATCTGCCTGATGAAGCCCCAGGACAAAGGGAGAGAGAGAGAGAGAGAGGGGGGTCCATGGGGGTATGGTGTGGATTCTGAAGTAAGGATAGGCTCAGAATTAATGAATGCCGCCAACACCAGACTCCCTTCATTGAGCTACGGCCTGGTCATGGGAGAATGGCTCAGCATGGTACCTAACATTATAACTGCATGTTTGTTTTTGCTCATAACCCAGAGGATTCCCACCAGAAACTCAGAGAGGCTTGGGTCCTAATCCCACTGCTGCCACTGCTAGCTGTGTGGCCATGGGCCTTTTACCTAACCTCTCTGAGCCTTAACTTCTGGTAATGGCACCTGCTTCAGAAGGCAGTGATAAGATTTAGATAAAATAGAGTACAAGGCCCAGCAGGTGGTGAGCACTCAGTAAGCACCAGCTATTAGGAAGAGTTAGTGTTGACCCCCTCTTTGAATTACTGGAGACATATTAAATCATTACTAAATGACTCACACTGACTCTGCTTAGAGGTGGGCCAAAGGAATCCCAGCCAAGGAGAGGAAAGCATTTTTTAAAAAAGATTTTAAGTAATCTCTACACCCAGCGTGGGGATTGAACCCACAACCCCTCCATCAAGAGTCGCACGCTCCACCAGCTGAGCCAGCTAGGTTCCCTGAGGTAGGCATTTTGTGTGTGTACTCAGAAAGGCCTGTGGTGCTTTCTTAGACTCTAAACCATCCATTGCCTTGGCGAAAACAATCGCCTTTCTGTTTTTTAGCTTTAAAAATCTGTGAGCTTTGAGTTCTGTGAGGCTCCACACACCTAGAATGAGTGTGTGAATGCAGTTCATGAAATTGTAAGTAATTGTGAAACTTACTGATATGAGGGGAAAAAAAGCTTGTTCTTAGAGGTGACCTTGGTTTGCACTGTGTGTTGTTTCAGGCTTGTCTTGGGGGCGAGAGGTTTGAATCAAAGGTTTACTTTGGATTTGGAGGGAAGGAAAGGTGGGGTGAGTGTTTTTCCCTAGTACGCTAGTAAGCGGCTCAGAGTAGAAATCAACTTCCCTGTGTCATATTCTTTACCAACTCCTGGTTATTTTGGTGATTAGATCACTTTTTTACAGTGATGAGTGCTCCAAAAGTAAAGGGCCAGGAATGTCTCCCTCAAAGCTAAGTGTTTGGAATATGTGGGGAAGCCGGCTCTGCTGGTTGAAAAAAAATATATTTTAAAATGTCTCCTAATTTGATCATTAGGGTAAGTTAGGTTCCCATTTGATCATTTTAAGACTGTTGCGTTTAGAGTGCAGGACTGTTGAATCTCAGATCTGTACCTCTGAGACAAATAATGCAAGATATGTTAAGAAAAAAAAAGAAGAAGAAGAAGGTAGCGGGA